CCGTGTATTTTAATGTAATGGTACTAAATACGTGTGATTTATAGGGAATTGGGCTGGAAAATGTTTGTAGATAGTAATGGTTTATGTGCAATATGTATATTAACGCTTTGCCAACTGCGCGTATTACTAACCCGGAAGCACTGTAGCGTAAAAATATTTCGCGTGATCGCACGCGTGGGTTAAAATTTACCAGACGCGATGCATCTCTTATTTACAAACTCAGAAACTGTCCTGATTTTGTGGTTTTTCCATGACGAACACTTTCTTGTATTTTAAAAAGAAAACAAACACAAAGACTGAAATACGCGCTACAACGCAATGATACCAAATCGAATATTAATAATTATGTGTTTGTGTTGAGCTGCTAGAACTTGAATAGGGGGATTAACAGAAAATTCGAGAGTTCGTTGTGTTTCTGTGTTATCGAAAAATTGACTTTACTCAAATTTTGCATTGTTCACAAACACTTTGTTACCTGAAAATATCGAGTGAAATCGTCGTTTTCTTATAAATGTGTGGATATTGCATACGCATTATGTGTTCGGTACTTCTTGATATTATAGTAACGCTCAAGACAAACTAGTTTATGCAACGGCACTCCAGGGAATTAATGAATTATTGAGTGCATCCTTCCGCTTTACGAACTGCACGCGCTATGTACCAATTTCCTACGAGACTATGTCTTGGAAAATCTGTGGAAATCTGTGGAAATCCTACTATGGATCATATCTTTTTATTTAAACGTACTAAGGGAGAGTTACAGCTATGTTGTAGAAGAGATCTCTAACCTTAAAAATAAAAATATCTGCCCTTTTTACCGGTCATCCAACCATTCACCGTGAAACAACTAGATATACGTGATCAGGTGATAATCTATTAATAAAACAGCGAAACACAATAAAAAATCAGTTTGTACATATTTTGATCTACGTTATTGTATGCCCAAATGAAAGACATCTTTAAATTTCTTTTTCAAGGAAACTTGACCCGGAATGAATGATCACTAAATCTAGAGTCTATCTACGAACAAGTTGCTAAAACAAAAGGCTGAAAAAAAAAATGGTCACTTCACAGATCCCCGTTCCATTGACGACGATAACATCGCGGTCTGATTTACAAAATATTCACACGGTAATTTCGGAATGTCCTGGCATCGAATCGCGTCAAAGGAAACTGTCATTTTCCGCGAGCGATAAGAGACAATTAACGCTTCGCTTCCATCGCGGAGTGCCGTTCCGGTGGCGGGGCCCGTTCAAAGGCCGTTTCCCAGGCACGATCGACTATTGATCGTTGTACACAAGCACCGGCGGACGGCCGCGTTTCTCCATATAGTCGCGTTCAATAATTGAAAACCCGCGAACAATCAGCTGCGTTCTATAGTCCACGGTTTCATAAGTACAGGTTCTGGACATAGCGTGGTTGTGAAATCGTTTGTGGTGCAAAAAGTCCCCCCGAGCGTCGGAACAGCTATTTCAAAAGATAAATAAGAAAATAAAGTATCTATCGTACAATTCCATTTCAGTGAGAACGCTATATCGTGACGAGGACTGTAAGACAACGTTATATCGTGGCGATTACTATACTGTATGACAAATAAACTTATTTGGTATATTGAAACAATGTAAATACCTTTAACCGACTTCATTTAGTCGTAATAAAATTAGCCTAAGTAGGTAGTTTCTTTATTGTATAAAAGATTTAACATATAGTTGAAATTATTAAAAATACTAAATTGCTCTTTTCCCAAAACAAGGTTTTTGTAGATACGTCAATTAGCCTCTGCAGGACAGTATAAGACAACACAATATCATGGTCAGAACTATATGACATGTTGTATCGTGACGAAGGGACTACACAACGACGGTTCATCGTGACGAAGAGACTATACATATAACGACCCTAGATCATGACGAAAAGACTACATGACGGCGCTATATGGTAGCGAGGACTATACGACAATGCTATATCATGACAAATACTATACGAGGCCACGTTCATGCAACAAGCGTCCCCTCGCCACGAAACCGCTGGCTGACGTCCGTATGGAGAACACCGCGAAAACAGGTTTTATCACCGGGAATTATGCAACTCGCGGAATACGCGGTCCCGTATAACACAGATAACGACCGCTGCGTGGCGGGCGAACGTCCCGCGAATCGATCGAGCACCAGTGGTGACGTTCAAGCGTGCGTTGTTGATTTTCTCAGAATTTCGCTGGAGTTGCGCGGGAGTAGCAGAGCAGTGTCCCCCGTGTGGCGTTCCATTGACAGTTCGCGACCGCCACGTGGATGTTACTAAACGAGCGACACCTGGAACTGGTTGGGGAACACTTGCGTCGAAGAAATGGTCACTATGTAAATTATATATATATATCACTGATCGTTGCACAATCCCCCCATTACGCATTCTTGACGAAGATCCAAGAATGCAATTTCGCAGATAATAATATTCTCATTCACCGTTCTCTTCCGAAACCACCCAAGAATTTGTCCGAGTTCGTTCCCTGTTTTCGTACGGCTGGTATCGCGTATAACAGTGTCTTTCAAATAACGAATAAGTTGACGAAAAAAAATATCTAGATAAAAAAGAGAAAATTCTGTGTAGTCACGCAACTTAGATCACGGATTTTATGCATTTTCAACGTGTATGTATATATGTGTAAAACGCTTTAAAATAAAATTTTTGAATACGTTTCAACTTTTTTTTTTTTTTGTGGATTTATTTATTCCATTCGTCGGGTAATAGAATGAAACAATTATTTATTTCGCGTTTTCATAAATTAGTCTCTAGAGACGTGAGTTTGCATAAATATTCGCAGTCTAGTTAGAAGAGGCTCGAATTTACAAGCTACGAAACAGGCGACTGGTGGTCTGCCAGAACGTGTCTAATCATATTTGTTTGCGGAACCCGCAGGAAATTTCGGTGGACGTTCTCGCTGTCACTGTCACATCTGTTCGTCGAACACGTGTAGATTATGTAAATCAACGCATGTGTTTCACGTCCTGCATGTTCACCGACACATATTCAGATGACGATATCGAAAAGTGCAGAAATGAAAGACATGTAACGAGATGTATTAAATTTCGCTACGATTCGGTATTCCGTTATAGTTATAATAAAAAAAAAAATATACTAAACTTTGTGAAAGCGTTTACGTAGGTACTTGCGTTTGACGTAAATGCATAAAATCCACAGTTCACTTATCAATCTGTAGAACACTTATCACTACTCTAACAAGTAGGCACTATGGTCATTTTCTTTTCGATTACTGTTTAATATCATCTCTTCAACAAAAAAATGAATCGTTCACCGAGACACTTACTATAAATATTAATTTGATTCGATACGGAAACCAAATGAAATTCACACAATTTATGAATAAGATGGTAAAAAAAAAAAAGGACATTCATGGTCTCTAAGTTTTCTACTTTATCATACCTAAATAACCAATCTCGGTCAAGTAAATAACCGATCCTAGATAATGTAGGAGTACTGTCATACCAACAAAAAAACAAAGTTATACTAAAAATCCGTCCTTACCGACAGTCGAGTAACAGTTACCGACCATTGGGCACAGCGAATCCTCTCGGATGGCGCCTTAATCAGAGAAAGGTAATTAAAATGTGCCTTATCAACGTATACCATTTCACCGAGGGTGTGTAGACCGGGGACGCATAAAGACAAGACTAGAAGAAAAAGTAACCTCGACCCAGTTTCCGCGGGGTATGATAAAAACACCTATAGAAAAAAAGACACTCCTACTTTTCTGCAGAGATCTCCCAGTGAATTCACCTCCGGTTACGTTTCGAGCTTTCATCGTGACCCAGATTGTACCTCCTCGCTTTTCGTCGAATCGATATTTACAGACGGTGTATATGCAATAAATCGTTAGAGGTGGGAAAAAACCGTGTACGAAGGGAAAGAAAGTTGAACGGGTTATGGTCACACGATTGCTCGCACCTGCCGTTTACCGCATGGCGGAAATGGTCACGGAGGGATCGAGGAAGACGTCACCACTTGGTGGACAAGCTACAGACGAAGCTCATACGATTTTCAAGCGACCAAGGACTCTTTCACGCCTTTTGGAATCTCTCTTTTCACGAATACTTGTGAACAGGTTTGAAGGAAACAGCCCTTAATTAACTTAGAGCTCTAGAAAACGACTCAGCTCAAATTTAAACGATTCCACATCAGTTTCACTGTAAAAATTAATGTCCCTAAAATGGGACTCTGAGTACCTACTGCGAAATGCTACGTACGTTTTAACGAGGACAGGATTTCTCGTATTGAGAATTCGTTGTGTGGGTCAAATGTGACCCGACGTAAATCTGTCGTTACTGTTTTCAGCTGGTCGATTCGGGTCTTATACACAGAGACACCGAATGGTATCTCGGTTTGGAATGCGCGATAATTTAAAAAATACGTCAATGGTGTAGAGAGAAAAAAAAAGGGCACCAAGCGAAAGAGGCTTTAAGCGTCCTTGGGTTTTCAACGCTGCAGCTGAATGCGCGGGTTGTTTAGCAAACTAACGATCGAATGGTGGATTAAAAACGTGTACGGGAATACAATACACACATGGAGAAAGTTTCCGATGCGGGGGCGACTGTGATTAAACAAGTTAAGGGTGGGTGTTCATGCACCCCCGAGCAACTTCTAATGTATAGACAGTAACGAGCTAACCAACCCCCTCTTAGCCAAGCAGAGTGAGGCTGGGTAGAGGGTAATGGGAAAAGACGAGTTAACTCGTCCTGCCCGTAGTAGACATAAATATGTGTTGAAGATATTTCTGATACTGAAGTGTCTCATTGGGCCCAGAATAAAACAGAAAACGTATTTTGTTTTCTACTCTATTTTATAGAGTCCTACAGACTATACATGAATAAAATTTTGCCTTGCCAAAGTTGTGTTGTCGTTTTGACTTGCTTGGTAGTTCTAGTGTTAAAGGGTTAAGATCCCAATGATAAACGTACAGACTACGGAGAAACGAAAGTGACACTCACCCCTCTGGCGTCCCTGAAGAGTATGGCAGCGTGGACAGGATCTAGACAGGCGTCTGATGCCCTATGAGGTATCGCAGGTGTCCCCAGGGAGAACCTCCTCGCGCCAGGATCAAGGGAACTCCTTCTCAGCGCACCTGTAATCAACAACCTATCAGTTAGATCGAAGTTTTTTCACTGAATATCGAAATTCAATACGGAATCGAGTGTCTGAATATATCGAGAGAACAGTAAACCATGGAGAGCCTAGATTCTATGTAATATCTTCTGATATATCATACCAAACGCTTGGTACTGCACGGTGGATTTCACTAAAGTTAAAAAAAAAGTACCTACAGGCGCCAAAAATGCACGGAGCGAAAGGCGTTAATAAATTATTTACCTAATATAATATGTACCAATGTTAGAATTTTTTTCTATGACTCTTCAACATTTAAAAGTATGGAAAATATTATACATGGCTCCTATTATCGAAGAACTTGTCCACCCGTGGAGCCTAGATCGTTCCTGATGGAAGGATTAGTGCGAAATTTTCGATGGGCCAAAATCAATGCGCATTCAAGTGTATTTGATGTATATGGAGATCAGAGCAGTAAACTTATGCAGAACCGAAAATTTCTTGGTAAAAGGATCAACAAGGGGAGAGTTGAATGATCAATGAATCGTCCGTTTCTATTCGAAGTAGAAAGAAGCTGGAGGTGGTGAATTGATCGCTTTCATTTTTCGGCCGAATCAAACGTTTGGTTCGTCGTTCGAATACGATCGCCTGAGATCAAGCCGAACAACGGACGGTGTTACAGAGAGCCTGACCTTAACTCGTTACAATTTAACGCAATTTACGAGCAGACGTGCACAATCTTCCATGGGGGTTACGTAAACCCGTGACTCTCGTTATTTAAATTTCAATCGGGCGTGTTCACGTTCGAACGTTTCCGGGGACCGTGTGTGTTCGACTCGCATAACTGTCTCCTACCGACTCTTTCTTATTCTGACTTTTCCGTGTTTGCGATCGATAACGTGTCGAGATCAAAGTGAAATGTGTCGTTATCTTGTATTTTCCTGTATCTATTTTTATGCATTGCACAGTTGCATCTGTCACCGTTTTACGAGACCGTGAGAAAACTGGTCTCTTGCGCAGAGTCACTTGCTTGAGAGTAGAACCATCGACGATTCACGCATGTATTTATTTCTATCGTATTAGTAGAAGATTATGGTCTAAGTAAATGTATAAATTATCAGGTTGTTGCATAATAAATGTAGTTTTCGGAATTTCAATGCTTGTGAATCACGATTAAGTTAAGATTAGGAGTATTAAAATACGTTAAATATTTTAAAAATTCTTGTTAAATAATCATTTAAAAAATTCTTTTTCAATGTATATTCAATGAAGGGGAAAAACAAGGAATGTCTATTTTTAGTGATTTTTATGGTTACAAAGGGTTACGAAGTAATACATAGACATGTCCATGTAAGATAACGTTTAAAGTTTTGCTGTGCATTAAGAACAGTGATGGACCGCGGTATTAAAAATTGATTTTCTCAGCTGAAATAGTTATAAATCCCCCAATTTCGACTGCACTGATAATTCCAAGCGTTAACAACAAACGGATAAATAAGAAACCAGTTCATCCTTACCACAAATAAACGAAAACAATTCATTGCATATGACTATTCGCAAGAAATACAAATAAAATACTGTATTGAATTTTGATAAATCTTCTGGATGATATAATAAGAGAGAAAACAAATTTGTACACTCTACAAGACACGCCTCCCTTCTTGCATCTCTTTTCTGTACATTCTAATCTTTTATCTTTCCCGATAAAAGCGATACAAGATTGTTTTTCTTAAATCATCGAATATGTATTAAAAAAAACACGATAACAGCAAGACTTCACGAATTTGTGTTATTGCAGCCGACCAAAAATATTTTGTACATTATTTATAACTATCGATAAAACAAACAAGATTACCCGTACTGTTTGGTACGATGACATTTCAAAAGAAGCCCGAAAAAACACAAACACACACACACACACACATAGGAAATTCTTTATGCAAACGCAAACACAGCCCAAGAATTTTGATCCTTCCGGCCGCGTGCTCGCGAAACGTGCTCCGCTCAGCGCGCACGTGTTTCGCAAAATAAACTTGTTTCCCGCCGGGAGTAGAGAGCAGTGTCGAGTGTGTTTCAGCCTGTTGTCACACGAAACCGGAATTCGTTTTCGATTGCAGCCGTCGACTCGGTTCATTTCGCGTTTCGTCTTCGTGAATAAAAAATAAAATATATATAAAAAAAACTTTTTAAGTTACACGGTTTTAATTATGTATATAAAGAAGATTAAATAGAAAATAAAAAGATATATAGAAAACGTTTACTAAAAAAAATATAAAATAATTTTCATAGCTATAACATTTTTGGTCATATGTGACTAAAAATAAAATCGTCGGACGCCCATAATGGGTTAGTCATAATGACCAAGAATGTTTTGATAGCTATGAAAATAATTTTTTACTTTTTAGCGCATTTTTTTGTTTGTTTTTTTTTATATAACTTTTTACTATTTGAAAAAAGAGAACAGAGTGCATTATTAAATTTTTTGATTATTATACAAATTTTAATCCTCGGAAGTAAATACTGGAACCTTGAACTAATTTTAAAAAGACGAATTTATTAAGACCAGAAATAATATTTTTTTTATTCCACGGCTGTTTTGAACTAAAATATATTTATAAATATCCTTTGATACAATATCCAATTGATAGAATATCCTTTTCTATTGCAGAATTTCCCCGTGAATATTTAAGTACAGTAAACCTACACATGACTGCCACTATCCCACTCAAGAGATAACGTTCTATCAAATTTACCTGCGATTTTGACTTAGAACTATCGAATCCAAATGCCTCTCGACGGAAAATCCCGAGTGAAAATCAATAAAATAAGAAATCATCAAATTGTAACGCAACCGAGAAAGAAAATCCGACGATTTTCCCGACCACGTTTTAGCTACTACTCTGTACCGAGGCTCGGTGATGATATTCCATCCCACGGCCCAGCCTAATTAGAGTTTCTGAATCAATTCCACCTTGAATATAAATATAACTACTTCGTTCATGGTTTCCTGTTTTTTGCGAAATTCTATTGGTATCG